AAGAGCAGCCCGAGAAGTTTGCGTTGGTTATGCGAAGTTTCACTGAATATTGCATAACCCCTCGGAGGCTGTGGCTAGCAAGTCGAGCACGAGCCGTCAGCGCAAACGCCATGGTGCCGACGCCACCATCTGGCGCTGCACATCGAGGGTCGTTGTCGATGCTGGAAGACGAAGATGACGATGATGATGTGGCGGAGTTACGGTTCTTGAGTCCTCCTTTATCGGTGCGGCCCGTGCGGGCTGTGACTGATAGGTGACAGTATGTGTGTACATTAGTACTGCTTTGAAATATTGTACATTCTCACTAAAGTTATTGGTGTAGCGTTGGCGCTCAGTTTGATAATGCATTTCTCTCGAGTCCCATTTCTATGTTTGCCACTTGTAAACTCTCTTTCCCTACGATATTGTTCGGTCACGACACGTTTCGAGATGCAGAGCAGAGGGCATGGGACGACTACGAACGACAACGACGATTGACTGCTTGGCTGGCGAGGAAGGAGCTCAAGAGGAGACGATCGTTGGAAGGCGGCTGCAGCAGCAAACGACAACGCACTGAGTGTCAACCACCTTGCCAAAACGGCTGTTTGAGATGTTCCTATGGTTACTGAAAAGTATCCTCGCTGGGGATCGAACTTGCGACCCAATAGTGATGCACATTGTAGGTTGCTGACTCACTAACGTTCATATAAAATATAACTGCTACTGTCTCTGGAATGTATGTGTTGCGTTCGGTGTCGTTCGAGTTGCAGTGATATCGCAACGGCAGCGATAGGCCTCACAGTCCAATCTAAACTGTTCAATGGTCTGGAATGTCAATACATTCACGCTGTCATGGTGGACGTGGTTCCAGAAATCTTCTGTGAAGTGTCAGGATTGCACAAGAAGTTGGTTTGTACTACGCGTCTTGTATAACGATTCGAGTTGTACTATACTAAGCAGCATAGCGATAGCTCAATCATAAACCCTGTTCCAACATCAGTGTATCCGAAACGTCGTCCGCGGAATGTCGCAGTTAGATTTCGGAAACCATCGTGTTTTTGATCACCGAGAGAGACAGCTCATCAGTATTCGGGAAACAGTTTCGTTCGTATCCCATGCTCTACACAATCGACTCGACGATTAAAAGACTATTCTCGCTGATTTTTCATTGCCTTCCTGACACCCGTTACAACAACCCTCCGATTAGACGGGATTCCGGGCAAGAAATCTCCTTTGCTCGCCCGCTGTCATCAGAAGTCAATTACAATTTCTCCATAGCACTTCGCGTATGCCACTGATCTGCGCAGCATTTTGGTCAACGAAGTGGGCACTCTCACCATCCTCCCAACCGCCGTTGGCCGGTTCACACCCAAGAACGGATAAAGGCTCAGTTGAGTCGGCCCCTAATGCTGCAGCCCTCTCGAACGACTGAAATACTCGACGCAGTTGGGGCTGTCGGTACACATTAAAAAAGCTTCTTCCCCTTCGACTTGCCTTCCACATGAACAATAGACAACCTATTCCTTACAGGAAGCAAGTTGGTCTAAATTGATCTCGTGTTGTGTCAATTTGAACTTTTGAATCCGAGTTCAATAATTTCATTCACGAATTTCAACTCCTTTATTTCGAGCGGTCAAAAGGGCGAACTATAAAACACTACTATCACCCAACGACGAGTAGGTAGTAGGCAGATATCTCCCCGTAACCTCTTAAAAGCGATAATTAACGCGCATTTTATCTAACGATATTCCTAATCATCATTTCTCATGATTCCTCCCAAAATCGCTATGTCAAGGTCTAAGATGACCAATATCAGGCTTTATAACATACGCAAGCATTTAAATGCAATTCACAGAGACAACCCCAAAAGGCGACATCACAACAACCTCCGTAAATAACATAAACATCAAAGGTAACAGTACAGCCTCTTAACACTATTATATAAAGTTAATCACGCGACTACACTGAAGACATACTCGGTCTTCGAGTAGTATTTCTCTCCGGGCCTTAGAAGAGTTGAAGGGAAGTCAGCACGATTTGGCGAGTTGGGATAATGCTGAGACTCAAGGGCAATAGCATTGTTCTTCTTGGTCAAGAAATTGCCAGTGTATGCTTGAACACCGGGTTGGGTAGTGCTGATGTCCACACGGCGACCAGAGGCTGCGCAATATAGACTGCCCAACTTCCTCAGCTCGCCGGGCTTGCCAGAGAGAACGTAGTTGTGATCAAGACCGTTCATTGCAGTCAACTGTTCATCGGTTTGGGAGAGGGCATCACCAATAAGCTTCGGTGTTAAGAAATCAAAAGGAGTACCTGAGAGAGCGACAATAGCACACAGTAACCGACGAAGAAATTGCACAGTTCAGAATCGTATACGACTCGTAGTATACAAGTGTGTAAATCAACCTAGTCCTGACAGAATTCCGAGATTGTCCCAACCAACGAGAAAATACGCTGAGAGATACGGGTAAACTAACCAACATGAACGAAATGAAATCATAGAACTATGAACGAGTAAACGTTCGAACAGCAAGGAGGAACCGGTTTACCTTTGACATCAGCTGGGGGACCCTCAATGGGGATGCCGCCGTTCTCAACCTTCACGAACTTCTCAGCGTTGGGCAAACACAACTCGTGATTGCATATAGTCTGCGAATGGTCGTTGTCCAAGTTGAAGTAGGTGTGGTGAGTGAGATTGACGACGGTGGGAGCGTCAGTGGTGGCATAATACTCCATAGTGAACTTGTTGCCAGTGATGGTGAAAACGACAGTGACATCCAAGTTGCCGGGGAAACCTTGGTCGCCGTCCTCAGATCGAACCGTAAAGGTTGCCGACGCAGACTTTTCTGAATGCAAGGCGAAGAAAAGATTATACTAATGGATATATTGCTATCGAGTATATCGTAGATAAAGATTCATTCATTACTCATCAACAATTATGATTTATGAATACAAACATGACAACTAATAACGACCTAATGCTATATTAGAATATACTCCAACGTATATTCCAAAAACACAAAACCAAGAAAATCCAAGAGAGCTCACCATCACGGTAGGAATCCGTATGTTTCCAAATTTTCTTGTTGAAACCATCGGTGCCACCATGAAGGCAATGAGGACCGTTATTGGCGGTCAACTGATACTCCTTACCATCGATCGTCATACGACCATCGGCAATTCTATTAGCATATCTGAAAAAATGTGTTACAAATTCCCCCAACCGCTTTTAATGCGCTCACCTGCCTGCTAAACAACATAGGTAAAAAGTGTCATCAACATACTTGGACAATTCGTCACCGTAGTTGAGGTTTACAGCAAGAGAACTTGCCGTTACGATCA